CCCCCTATAATAGTTGTTTTTTTGTTGCATGAGATTAGGAGCTCAGAAAAGTGAAAAAAAACTGTTCCGTTACTCAACCAGCCTTCTTCTTTGCTCATGCAAATGCAGAATTTGCAGGTATTAAGACGGCTCTCGAAAACAGACCCAGAAATAAGGATTAAAAGGTAACTACTGTAGTTGACGGCTAAATGCGAAACAGTCCAGTTTTCCCGCGATCTAAATCAGCTTCTGCAATAAAAAAACTTTGAAAATGCACCAGTCGAGCTGGTAAACTTACGACGAGTTTTAGAATGTAGGGTGTCGCCTCCATACCGTTATCAGCCAATATATTGATTATGCGCCTGCCAATGTCCACGAGGTTGGATTTCTGCGGATCTTCGATGTGAACATGGCGACGCAGGTGGTCAACGCAACGGTGATAGGCTTTACGCAGGCAATATAGAACGAAGGTGAGGCAGTCGTCCATCAGTGGAAAGTTCCTACAAATGTCAGAGATAAATGGACGGTAAAGCTAGTTTCTGGTGTCACAGTACTCTAGTTACCCATGCATAACTATCTACTAATTGTATTGTAGTAGGCATGTTTTTACCACTTCGTACAGGCATCGGCTGTGTTAATCACAAAGGGTAGACATAGTCCAGTGCACATTCCATTGCACCCTCACGAAAATCGTTAGTGCCATTGGATCACTTATCGACATCGAAAATCATAATTTCTGTTGTGTGATCATCAGTCAGTCTGTCTGCTCCGATCTACATATTCCAACTGTACTGGCCTGATGTAGAATTGCTGAAAACACGTGTTTGCCAAATCGACTTTTCAAATATTCAATGGTGTGCGATTACTTTACGATTATAGAGAACACAAAAACCTCTACAGATTCCCTTAGACGCTTCGGTCGCTTATGCAGATATACAGCTAGTCTTCAGGTCGGACCCCGTGAAGTTCTGGGCCCGATACGTCGAGGACACATTCGTCATACTAAAGAGGAGCCACGTGCAAGCTTTCGAGGCATTGTTGAATTCGATCTTTCCCTACATCCAGTTCACCATGGAAGCAGACGTCAATAATCAGTTGCCTTTCCTTGAAGTCCGGGTTACAAAACTGGCAGACGGGAAGATAAAGGCAACGGTCTAACGTAAGGCAACTAACACCAGGCACATTCTTCACTTTCAAAGCAACTACCCAGCTGGTCACAAACGCAGTTCCGACGTGTTCAAACACACTTTAGCGAAGACAGCGGGAAGTAGGGGGAGATGAAGTACTTACCTGTTCTTTTCAAAGCCAACGGTTATCCGAAGTCCTTCATCCGCAAGTGCCTCAAGAAGCATCGCGTTCATCGGTCGAGCGAAGAAGAGCCAAAATTCTGGCTCACCATCGTCTATGTGAAAAAGATTTCAGGGGCGACTGTACGAATCCTAGAACCTTTTGGGATCAGAGTGGCGCAGAGACCAGATTTTACAATCAGGCAGCAA